CAACCCCTGATTACTAATTAATTGACAATCCCAATATAATGATTTAAATTTTTTAGAATAAGAGTGAGGTGTATGAGTAAAAATAATCATTATTAATCAAAAAAAATTTCTTCCAACACTTTCTGCCTTCGGAAAGATAAGCACTTCTTTGTCGAGGAGTTGTCTATAGAATCGAAAAAAACAATGCAATACGATACTAATTTTTGTTATATTTGTGGATACTTTTATTATTATTGTGGTACCGAAAAAAAATGATAAAAATAGTACCTACAACAGTTAAGAGTGACAATTAGATCGTGTCGGGTCATGCCATTTCAATTTGGTATTGAGCACTAGTTCACATTAACCCAACTCGCTTAAATAATCATGTCGTGTCTACCTATTTATTTTCATATCATGTTAGTGTTAACCCATGTAACCTGTGAGTAAAAAATTTAACACTCAATTTTACGTCTAAAATTTCATTATCCCTTAATCGGACTTATGCTTATACTTTTTTTATAAACTAAAAATTAACTTAATAAATACAATAATAAAAATGAGTAAAATTATCTTTTATTACTTGAAAAAATATAAAAAAAATATTTATATATATATTTTTATAATACTATTTAAATGTGTCAATTTTGTGTTATTTTTATTTAGCACTAACTCAACACATTTATTATTCGTGTTAACGGATCGTGTCGAGAAATAGTTAAAATTAACCAACTAATTTTATGTCGATTTCAAGTCATGTTTTCGTGTTGTGTCAGAAATTGTTACCTCTAACAACAATTAGGGATGACAGTAGACTAGCAAAAAATGAGTATTCGACTGTTTGGATCGGGAATGAACCATAATTATTTGGACGATGAATATATATAGGAATACTTGTATAAACCTGTGCGGGGATGGATACGAGGATGGACTGAAACTTATTCTCGCCCCCGCTAAATTGGGTGAGAGGGTAGGGGGGTTTGTGTTTTTGTGATATTATATATGTGTATTTTATATATATATATATATATATATATATATATATATATATATATATATATATATATGTAATAAAATAACTTACAATTTAAATCTCAAAAGATAAATTAAATGACTTTTGCTATTCGCGGTTAAGATCACTTTAAATTTTACTTTAAATTTAATCTAACGGCTAATATTAACACTCTAAACTTAATACCAAAAATATGCCGCTAAGGGTATGTTTGGAATGATTTTTTAAAAAAAATTTTATAAATTATTTATCATAAATACTATAAAAAAAATTATTTTTGAAATCGTTTCACCACTATCTCTACCACCACGTCGTCGTCGTCGCCGCCACTACTACCACCGTCGTTGCTATCACCACCATCGTTATCACCACCACTGTCATGCCTACCACCACCACCATCACCACCACCACCACCACCACCGCCACCACCATCGCTACTGCCGCCACTATGATCATTGTCACTCATCACAACCATCACCATCTCTTACTACCACTACTGCCGCCCACCACCTCTCACCCCCATTATAAATCGTTGTTTAAATTCATTTATCTTTTCTCTATATTTGTGATTTGATTTTAGATATAAATACAAATATATTTATTATTTACTATTTTTTTTTACTATGTGCCTTCATGCACAAACAATAATTAGTATATATATATCACGGTTTTAGCAGGGGCGAGAATGAGTTCCAGTCCGTATATAAAATATTACAAACCCCACACTCTTCAAAAAAAAAAACTTTCTCTTTTTTTTTAGATCCATTTCATGGGGTTCCAACTTTCTTGCAGATCCATTAGTGAGGTTTTATGATTTTTTTTTTAATTTTTTTCATAAAATTATAGAAATTAATTATTATGGACGAGGAAGGTGACGGGAACAGAGATTAAAATTTACCCACAGGACAGGCACAGGCACAGGAACAGGAAATAAATTTTTCCCACTAACAGGGGTGGGCCAAGGGTAAATGAATGTTTTTTAAGTGGGTACGGAGTAGAGACTACTCCCAACTCCCTTGCCTGGTCCATTGTCATCCCTAACAATAGTGATAAAAATATCTACAAAAATTATAAAAATACGTATTAAAGTAATAAAATTTTGAGGTATGATACCAAAAAAATTTCTTTGGTCCCATGACAAGCAAATGTGAGCTTTGATAATTTCATGATTGATCGTCATCTCTTATTTGCCTTGTATTTTTCAATAATATCCCTACTCAATGTACTAGAAGTGAATATATGAACTAAAAGACAAAGCAGTAAAATTTGAGAAAAGATAAGAGATGTTGACGAAGTTAAGGTTGCATTTGGGATGATTTTATAAAATTTAAAATGTACTTCTTAAATAAGTGTTTCTCAAAAGTGTTTTTTATAAAAAAAAAAAAAAGTACTTTCATTAAAAAAAACATTGTTTGGATGCTCAAACAAAAAAACACTTAAATCAAAAAATACTTTATTAAAAAGTGTGTGGTGATGGTGGATGGTGGTGGTGGTAGTGGTGGGGATTGTGTAGTGGTGACGATAGTGGTGGTTTGTAGTGGTGGCAGGGAGCGGTGGGGTGGCGATGGTGCGACGGTGAGCGATGTTTTTTTTTTTACTTTTACTTATTTAAGTGGTTAAAGTACTTTTGATTTATTATGAAGTAATTAAAATAAATTGTTCAAAACGCTGCTTTTTTTTTTAAATGCTTATGAGAAGTCATAAGTTCTAAAAATTCTTCTGAAAAGTCATCCCAAACACATCTGTCTATCTACAAATTGTAGAGTGCAGATGAAATTTATCCAAAAACAAATAGATAAGTGAACTCTAAAAAATTAAATAACGACCATTTATTATAATAGTTAGTACCCACATACGTTGTATGTGGATCATTTTGAATTATAATTTTAGTTTTTATTTTTAATTTTTACTCGCATTATCTCTATATTTGTAGTTTTATGTATACATTAAATAAGTGTGAGGTTAGAAAGTAAAAGAGACAAAATGTAAAAGAAAGGCATTAGGTTGTTGATTTGATTACTTATTAGTTGTTTATAAAATTTATATTTCAAATATTTTACTTCTACCGTGGTGTAAGCAACACTTAGCAGAATTTTCATCAAGAATATTGACTTTGAATTGAAAAAAATTACAATCTTACAATAAATATTTGACAGTTGAAAACCAAAAAATGAATTAAAACTCGATTGAAGTGAATAAAAATATAATTAATAAATAGAATTTGTGTATAGTTGCAAAAATTAATCTCATGCACCAAGACCATGGAAAATTAAATTTCTAAATTAAAATTGAGAAGTAAATAAATAAAAGAAATTGAATCTAAATAGTGAATAAGATAGATCACATTCTCTTAAAGTCCTAAATTACACTCAGATTAAATCATCAAAGCAGTAGTTGATAGTATTGATAAAAAAAACAGGAAAACAATCAAGAATTACTGCACTTTAAGCTCGTCATCTTCAATATCGTTTATAGTCTTACTTTCATAAGATTTATGACAACTTGCAAAGAAAAAAAAAACAAAACACATAAATGGAGGGAGCTATGAAAGTTATAGAGAAGAATAAAAATACCAATAACTTCTATTATTTAAAGAGATAAGATTTTTTTACTTGTGGTAAGTGAGAATTTGGAAGGAGAGCATGTTATTCTTATATTATTTTTTAATTTTCTCTACTGTTACGAATATGAAAGGTCTTCTTGTGTATAATGTTATGTATTCATTGCACTTATAATTATAAATATTTATTTTTAGAAAAGGGGAAGGGTGTAAGAGTTAAAGTGGTAAGTAGGATATAATTCTCTTTATATGATTAAGAAGGGGTAGAATAGAAAAATCAAAAAAAATTCTCATTTGCTTCCTTTTATTAGTAGTATAGATAGATAATCACTCTATATAATGAAATAAAGTTCTCTTTATCTATTTTTTATTTTACTAGCAATCCACGACATAGGCTGCACGTGAGCATATTTAAATAATATTTTTTTATAAAAAGTTAACTTATATTTGTAATTAAATTGAACATTGAATAATATGTCAAATAATTAGTTCTTATTTTAATTATTGCAAAATCTAAGTATTAATCTATTATATCCTTCTTGGAGTACCTAATCTGTCTTTTTTAGGTATCTCTCCAACACTTTAAAATTTTCATTTGTTGTTTATAGTATTACAATCTAATTGATCTTTTTGTTCATAAAATATAATAAATTTATAAAATAAAGAATTTATTGTATGGAATAGAATAGGCAAATAGTTAGAGGAAAAGGGACAATTATTTCTATTTTAGAGAGAAAAACTCTCGGTTCTCTCTACATTGTTCTTTGAATCTCTCCATTCTTGCCTATAATTGCTCTCTTTTGTCATGAATTTTGATCAAATTCTTCGCCATATTCCTCCTTAACCTCCTAACATCATCAAAAACTTTGCTTCATTGTTCAAGAATCCTTCGAATTCTTTGAGTTCTTCGACTTTTGGTCAAGAAACTGAAAATTCTCGAATTCCTTCTGCAACTCATCCAGACCAAAGGTCAGTTTTGCCTATGCCACCTACTTCTTTTACTCAACCAAAACCTGTAAAAAGAATGGTTTATAACAATAGGGAACCAGGTATGTACTGGAGTCCACACGAAACACAAGAACTGTCGAAGGGTTATTTCACTGTGGGAGTCCTCAATCCATGGCATGTTCATCTTTGTTTTAGCCTATATGGAGATTATGTCAAAATGTGGTTAAAAGATGCGACCTATATAAAAGGATTTATGGTTTGGTAATTGACAATCCTACACTTTAATTAACGAGACCTGGTGTGGCGAGGGCTTGTGTTGAGTTGAATCTCCTTGTGAATAACCCTAAGAGATTTTGGCTTGATATGAGAGGTACGAGTGTCGTTGGTAGCGAATATGCTATGAAAAAGAATGTAAGTATTGTTTTGTATATCTGAAGTAGGGTCATGATGAGTTAACGTGTTGTAAGAAGAAAAAGGGGGATGGGGATGGTAAAGGAGAAGATGAGGTTATTTCTTTGCCTGAGAAAGGCAAAGAGGTTGAAAGGCAACAAGATAAAGGGAAGTCTATTATGAAGGAGGTACAGATTAAAGGTTAGAGGAAAGAATTCAAGCCAAAGAAGATAGTGGTTACTGATGATATTATTCAGGAGGTAGAGGGTAAAAAAGAGGGTGTGATGTTAGAGAATGGGGACCATTCAAGTAAAGATTTGGTACTGGAGTCTGTTCCTCTATTAGTTCAAGATCATAGGATCGAGAGTAATCAAATTGTTTCTGATTTGGTCAAGGAACAGGTTAATAAAATACAAGACAGTAAGGTGAGGATTGATGAATTTTTGAATAGAGAATATGATGATGTTTTTAAGGTGAAGAAGATTGGCTCTTCTGTATTACCTATTGTTGAGATGGTAAAAGGGAGTGTTAAAGCAACAGTGGTTGCAAATGTGGATGAGGTTTTTGAGGTTGAAAGGAGAAGGGACTCTTTATAGCTAGGAAAGGAGGGTACTGAAGAAATCGAGAGTTTGCTCAAGTATATAGTTAATAGTTCTCCTTCGAATTGCTCCTCTTTCTTAATTGAACATAACTTTGTCAATAAAAGAGTGAGTGAGTCCCCTCTTGATGATGATAGAGGTTTGGGTAGTAAGAAGGAGCCTCCAGATAAGGGTTTTTTCTTTGATTAGGTGGTAGCACATACTAAGTATGACTCCTTTGTGCATTGGGGAATTTTCGTATCAAAGAATCTAGTTATAGACTAAGGTCTAATGGTGCTATTTCCCCACATTTTCCATGATTAATTTTATTTCATGGAATATGAAGGGAGCGGGGAAAGCTCTGAAAATAAGGAGGCTTAAGAAAATTGTGAAGATGAATGATATGTCTTTGGTAGCAAAACAAGAACCTAATATGGTTGCTTCTAAGCTGCAACTTTTTGCTGGATCTTTGGATCTTAGTCATTTTTGCTTTAATGGCCTTGCTAAGAAAAATATTTGGCTATTAGGGAATTACAGATTAATAGTAAAGGAGTTGTTTGTTCATGAGTAGGCTCTAATTGTTGAAGTGTTTAGGGTGGGTTTTGAGACTTTTTGGATCACTGTGGTTTATGCCTCTTGTGATCATGTATTAAGAAGGAATTTGTGGTATCATTTGAGGACTTTCTATACTTTCATAGACTCCTTGGCATATTTTTGAAGATTTAATGTCATATTGAATTCAAAAGACAGATTTGGGGGATCTTTTCCTTCGTTAGTGGTTATGGAGGAATATGGGTAGTTTATTGATCGAGGAGGATGGATTGATTGTGGCTTTGCGGGGAGTAGGTTTACCTGGTGTAATAATCACCATGGCCAATCTAGAATGTGGCAGAAGTTGGATAAAGCCTTGGTTAATGCTAAATGGAATTTGATTCTTGAAAGCACAGAGGTGTGTCATATGGCAAGGGAAAGTTCTGATCATAGTCCTCTTCTTTTGAAGATAAGGGGTAGTTCTATCTGAGAAGTATGTCTTATTTCAGATTTCAAGACATGTGGGTGGAAAATAAGTCTTTTCTGTCTTTGTTTGCTGCTAAGTGAGGTGACCATTGTTCTGACAATCCTATTTCAAATTTGTTTCTTGGACTGAAGAATTTAAAAGCACATATTAAGGTGTGTAATAAGGAGGTCTTAGATAATATATTTGACAAAATCAGAGACCAAGAGAATAAAATTTAGCTTGCTGAGCTAAAACTAGAGCATAAATTTACTAAGGATAATTCTGTAGAGTTGGAAAGTACTAAGTTGGAGCTAGATAATATGCTTAGGTAGGAGGAAATCTAATGGAAACAAAAGGCTAATGTGAGGTGGGCAGTAGTAGGTGAGAGGAATACTAAATTATATCATGCTCTAGCTAAGAATAGGGTGGTAAGGAATAGAGTTACTAGAATCTAGAATGAGGGGGGGTTTGGGTGCACAATGATGCTAAAATAGCTGGAGTGGCTGAGAGATTCTTTTGTAACCCTTATATATGGTGTGAGATGCTTTGTTTGATGTGGTTCCCAATCTAGTGAATAATGAGGAAAATGAGAGGTTTGTGGTTGCAGCTTCTATAGAGGAGGTTAAGTCTATGGTATTTTCTATGGCAGTTAAGAGTGCTCCAGGGCCTAATGGGTTATCTGGGAAATTTTTTCAAGTAACTTGGGAAGTTATTAAATAGGATGTTTTGGTAGCTGTTAATTGTTTTTTGCAAGGTGGTATTGTGCCAAAATCTGTTAATGCCACTTTGCTTGTGCTAATTCCGAAAAAGAATAACCCAGTCTCTTTTATTGACTTTAGACCCATCAGTTTTTGTAACTTTGTGTACAAGATTTTTACTAAACTCTTGAACAATAGGTTGGCTTTTGTGCTTCCTACTTTAGTCTCTATAGAACAACATAGTTTTGTGTAAGGCAGGAGCATAAGAGACTGTGTTTCTTTGGCCTAGTTTATGGTTGGTGAATTGGATAGGAAGGTTGAGGCTGGCAATGTCATTCTGAAATTGGATATGATGAAGGCCTATGACAGGTTGGAATGGAATTTTTTGTCTAAAGCTTTGAGTAGTTTTGGTTTCTTTGACTTATTTGTCTTGCTCATTTCAAATTGTTTGAGGAATCAACGCTTCTCTCTATGTTTGAATAGAGAGAGGTTTGGTCTTTTTCCCTCCTCTAGAGGTCTAAGGCAGGGTGATCCCCTATCACCCAGTCTTTTTATATCAGCAAAGGAAGTGCTAAGTAGAGGCTTGTAGAAAATCTATCAGGAGAGGAGGGTTACTCATTTCCACACTGATAGAGGTTCCCCACTTGTTAGTCATCTACTCTTTGCTGATGACACCCTGTTGTTTATTAGAGGTAATATTGTTGTGAAATCAAACAATGACAATAAAGTGAAATTAATGAAAAGAACGATAAGGATGCAATCCAAACAATCACACAACACAGAATTTACGTGGTTCGACAATTTGCCTACGTCCACGAAGCTGTGGGGATTTCATTATTCTCAAGAAAGAATACAGAGAGGACGCGGCCATACAGGATCCAAAACCCTAATCACTGAATAACATTTTATATATGTCATAGAGCTACAAAACGGGCTGTACTGAGTTCTATAGCTAATATTCCTATTAAAATTTGTCCTTTTACCTATTTAGGATGCCCTCTTATTAACGGTAGGATAAGACTGAATTACTTTGAGATATTGTACAGAAATTTAGCGGTAGGATTGAAGGGTGGTATGCTAAGTTTCTCTTTGGTATGGGTAGGGTGATGTTGATCTAGATTGTTTTGAATTCTATTCATGTTCATTTGTTGGCCTGTTTGAATTTGCCTAAAAGGGTTTTAGGTAAGCTGAACTCCTTAATTGTTGACTTTATATGGTCTAATAAGCTGGAAGTAAAGAGGAGGCATTGGGTGTCTTTGGATAATCTTTCTCAGCCTAAGATGGAGGGTGCTTTAGTGATTAGGAAGTTTGAAGATATCGAGAATGCTTTTAGGATTAAGCAAGTGTAGAATGTTTTGGAATGGACCTCTCAATGGGCTAAGGTATTTAATTGCTTGTTTCTGAAGAATCAACATATCTTAAGAAGTGTTGGTCTTTTAGGAGTAAGATGTTATATAGCTTTGCAACCTTGGTTTGAATTTGTGATTACTCATTCTTGTATGATTATTGGAAATGGTAAGAAAACTGGCTTTTGGTGTCACAATTGGCTTAAATCTAGTCATTTGCTATTGAGAATTGCAGGGGTTCCTAATGCTTTTCCTAAGCTTTCTGAAATGGTTATAGGGAACCAATGGCAACTGCAAGGGTTGTCACAATTGCTGAGTGGTCAAATTTAGGAGGAGATATTATCCTTTGGCATCTCTTTAATAGATAGAAGGATATGAGGGTTTGGCAGCATACCAATTTTGGTTTGTTTTCACTAAAGTCTGCATGGCACTTGGTAAGCAAAGGAGTTAAGGGGTGCTGAGTGAAGCTGCTAAAGCCATTTGGAGTCAAAAAAATTTTCCAAGTGCTCAGTTGGTCACTTGGAAGATTTTTAGGCAAGCTCCCTATATGGATGAGAGGATTCAGAGGGTTGGGATTCCATTGGTAAGTAGATGTTGCCTCTATTATCTGGATATGGAGTGTGTTTCTCATCTGTTTATTGACTATGAGTTGTCTCAGTCTGTTTGGAGGAAAATAGCTGTTATTATGAGTTTTCAAATCATTGCAAATGAATCTTCTTTGACTAAACTGCTTATGATTGTTAGAATTTTTAACTTGCAGTCTCTTAGTCATGGATTGGTGAGAGGGTCTCTTTGCTCACTTTTTGGTTTCTTTGGAAGGAAAGGTTTAGGAGGAGGTTTGAAGAGTCTTTTTTGAGCGCTTATTTTGTTTTTATGCAGATTTTGAGCTCTTTGAGTTATCAGACTTATGCTATTAAACCTAAGAGGGTAGATTCTGCACTTGGGAGGGCATTGCTCTAGGCTTTGAATGTATAAGTGTTTTGTAATGTCTTCACTAAAGTTGTTTGGGTGAGCTGGTCCCCTCCTTCAGTGGATGTCTTGAAATTATATGTGGATAGGGCTACTAAAGGTGATTCTAGTCTTGCAAGTTGGGGTATGATTTTAAGTAATTCTGAAGGTCATATGGTACTGGCAGCAAGTTTTTTCTATGGGGAAGGGACTAATATGCAAGCAGAATGCCTGGCTTTATTGGATGATCTTAGAATGATATTGAGGTATGGTTTGGGTGGTTATAGAATTTCTATTGAATCTAACTCTGAGATTTTGGTAAGCATGATTCAAGGGAAAGCAAGAATTGCTTGGAGGCATTGGGATGCTCTGGATCATATTGTTGGGATATTGAAGGGTTTGGACTTCAACTTCAGCCATGTGTACAGGGAATCAAATAATGTAGTTGATTTTCTGGCAAATTATGTTGTCCAAGGCAGCGGCGGAGCCAGAAATTTGGGGTAGTGGGAGTAAAAATTTTAGCAACAACAATACTATATGTACTCAATTGGAAAAGCTAATGCATTATTACCGTTGAATTAACAAATAAAATGCATTTAATGTGGATACTCTTTGCTAATTCAATAATAACAATGCGTTATATTATCAAAGTAGGCCATTATGTTAGTAACATTTTTTTAACAATAGTAAAACTTAAAACTTTGAAGTAATAATAAATTAAACGAGGTGACCCAACGTATGACTTCTGCTATTGCAAGGTCTAGAGTAAGATATACATATTCTTATCCTACATGTGCGAGAGTATTCTTTTTGTGGCTTGAATCCTTGACATTCAAATCATAAAGGAGCAACGTATACCTTATTTTTACCATCTTATTGACTAATTTTTATATTATAAAAATATTGCATAATAATATTATCATTCAATGTGTCAAAATTGACAAAAATGAGAGTAAGAGGGTTCATATAGGGTAGAGAACAAAAAGTTCTAAAATTTCTTGAACATATGTTTAGAGATTCAACTAAATA